CTTTCGTCATTACGATCTTCACTGGAAATTTCTTCGAACTGGAAGAGAAACGACCGATCTAATCGATCGTCGATAACCCATTTGTTTCTCGCGGCGAGTCGAGACGGAGACTCGAATATCAGCATAGTCTTGAAGAACAAAGAGCATCAATCTTCCACTTCTGGAAAGACATCTCGGACGATGAAACTCTTCGATGCTCTCGCGGTTCAATTGTCTCGTCGTCGTCGATTAAACATCGCGTGCGCACTCTTTTTAAATTAGCAATGCTCGAGCACTCTCGGCCGATAATTCTTTGTTCCAGCGCTTCGAACGAACCGTGGCTCGATCGCTAAATATTGACCGATAAGTATCCGGTGCGAGCGGCAAGCGTAATCTTGTGACGTCATTCTTCTCGCAATCGTAGACCAGGATATCTCAGACCCGAGGGTATTAATATTTGTGAAGCACTCGCCTGCGGGATTAATTTCTCCGGATTTTTCTCTTTCACGGCGAGTGAACTTCCCAGAATTTTCCACCGTACTTTCACTCGATACTATTGAATTTTTTTAATATCTTTGGACCGAGTCGCGGTAAAAAATTCGAGTAGACGACGCGATCGGTCTAATAAATGCTGGATTATTGGGATAAAAGCAATAGGTACTCGAGATTTCTAGGTAAAGTTGAAGTTCACTGCGTAATATTGCGCAAAATTCTGTAATATTTTTTACAGCCGAGCTTTGCCGAAATAACGCGAGATCAGATCTATTCGCGAATATTGTTCTTCTTTGTGAAGATTCCGGCTGCAGTTCGGGGAGCGAAGATCGTTTCCGAGCATGTAAATCGACTTGGTGGAGGAAGTCGGATGCCTGTTCGTGGACGTCTTGTTAATAATAGCGCAAGGGAGGAATGTCACGGGCGGTGACGTTCCTATTGTGTGGGCCAATATACGGGAATCGGCCTGTATGTCCTACGTGAACGCCTCGATCTGGCTAAGTAATTCATCTGTTGGCTCGAGATCCACGGTTGACGATCTTCGATAATGCTTCTACCTTGGCGAATATATAGTTGTTTCTTCGTAAAGTGTAGTATAGTTTCAGTCAAGAATATCCAGTTATCATTGAATCATCTTTAGTCAGCTGATAATTTAGTCTTCTACTATAGCGTACTGTGATTCGATACACCACTGTATCGTTTTCTTCTAGTTTGTATGTTTCAGTAGTTGACAAAAGAAAAATCAATTCAGCAGCGGACGAGGAAAAAGATTCTATGAATTGAAGATTCATAATTATATATGCAGGTATAAAATAGTAGATGAAGTACACAGTAGATGATACTTTACTGAATAATAAAGTAGTATAAAATAGTATTAATGTATAAAGTATTATAAAATAGTAAAGGAAGTATTAGATACTGAATGGTATATATATATATAATGGTAGCTGAAGTACTAAATACTTTACTGAGTGGTAAAATAAAGTAGTATAAAATACTAGGAATATTAGTATTTACCATAATAAAATCATATTACTTGACTGCCATACTACTAATTATTTCCATCTCTAATGTGCAATACTAATCTCATATAAATTGAAATTAGTGCTACTAGTTGGTGTATTATTAAATTATATTTTTGTATTATTGTCTATGTTACCATATTGCCTATTATCTGATACTACTTCATTTTATTATTGAATAAAATGCTTGTTAGTTCGTCTTCTACCTTTTCGGATCCTAGTCTGTTACGAGCAGAGATCCCTCTGGAGATTCCCTCCGTGGGTTCCCCGACAAGAATAATGGAAAAACGCGAACACGCGTTTCCGTCACTGTCGCCAGATATCGAACAATAAATATTGTTCTTGAATAATGATGAACAGGTCTCGTCCTAAATCTGGCGAATAATGGATCGGCGTCTCGTTTTATCAACATGTCGATAGACAAGCTGGCTGCCTTGTGATTCATCCTCTTCTCTCGCCTCCGTTTCTTCCCTCATTTCGATGAAAATGAAATTGGACGAATTGAAGTTATCTTGCGATCATTTCTGTCGTTTCGAATTTTGCCGATTTTTGACATTGTTACTATTGTTATGTTATTCCCCCTAAATGAAATTCGAAGCTAGATTTCCAATTAATCGTTCAATTTGACGGTACGGTGAACAATATTGGCAACAGTGCGAGATAAAGAGCAACCTGACGAGAAGAGTATTTTCTTTTTTTTTTTTAATTATCCGCATTTTGCCGGAGAACACTCGACTAGACGCTCCTCGTGACGAAAGTTCGTTAAAATGTGCAATTCTCCGACGAGACTACAGTTCCCTACAGTTATATCGTTGCGTGTTGATTATTTAAAAAAAGAAAGGAGAAAATGGGGGAACTTAATATTTCCCATTAATTCGAGGCTCCTTATTCCTAATTGCGTAACAAGCAACATTTCGAATTAATTAATTCGCCCGACGTTAATGGTACTGTACGAACACCTCTCGAAACGAATTTCAGTAAAAATACGCGCGCCAGTCATTTGTAGAATTCGCGCTGGATAAATGATGAATCTCGTTATTAAACACTTTATTATCAGATGATTTATTGCGATTTCAGCTTTCGGGAAAGATCTCTCGATTTTTGCCATAAAAGTTTATTTGCCTCCGTAAGTTCCAAGATTAATGATTTTTAATTAAATTGGAAAAATAAAAGGGGGCTCGGTGGATGAAGAATTTTTTCGGAGGACCGAGATCGACGTTACGCGGTAAACTCTTGTCACGGAGAATATCAACTTTCGCTACGGAGAGAAAATAGTTCGATAAGTTTGCCGAGGGCAAACGAGGGAGTCAGATCACCGATCGCAAGATTCATTCCTCTGTCCCGACGAATTTCGCGAAGTATAAAGTCGGTAAATACTGATAAATGAATTCCCTGAAATGCTTGACGATTCACTCGTGGCGAGTACTCAGAGAGAAAATTTCAGAAAATCAAATCTCTCTTGCCTTTCGTAGGATGACGATAATTAAACACGTGAGAATTTTCATCTTTTCTTTACGACTCTCGTCGATCCAGAAAAATTTACTGGCGACAGTAACTGGACCCTCTCGTTCGGGGAACTACGAAATTTGATTAGCTACGTGTTAAAAAAGAAATCTGGCAAATAAGTCCCCTTCTTCACGCAGCGGAAAGTTTCCCCAAGTGACACAAACCTTCTTCGTTTCACCGGAACGAATGTCCGTAAACTTCGATATTTTGCCAATAAGAGTTGCCGAAGTTTCCACTCCGACGAATGAGAGGACAATTGGTCTCGCACAATCAATGAGGAAAATGTCGACGAGGAGGAACAGCGCGAGCGTTAGTGAAGACGACAAAGTGACTGTGAAAGTGTAGAACGACCGATGTCTCTGACGGATGACGTAGAACAGGTGCGATGATCGAAGACGCGACGATGATCGTGTTCTTGTTGTTCGTGTGGACGATGATCAGGTCGCAGGAGCAGCAGGATCGGAAGCCGGACTCGCGGCGGGACTCTGCTGTGAAGGATAATCGTGATTCGAGGCGAAATTCCAAGGAGACAACGTCGTTCGGTCTTTCGTCCTACGTCGACAGACGTAGACACCGTCTTCGGCGACACTCGCGTCGATATTACGTCGATCGTAACAGGAGGTGAGTGATTTTGTCAGTGACGGAAATCTTGGGGAAGAATATAACGAGGAATTAACGAAGGATCATTCGATTGAATAGAATTGACGTGATCAAAAATTAATGAAAAATTACGAATATTTAATTAATTTAATGAAAAGATTACAAAGCAAGGTAAAAGTATTGTCGAGTTGCTTAATTCCTTAACCAGAATCGTCTACAATTGTAGAATTAGAAGAAAATAACAAATGCAAATTGATTGGAGCTAGATCGATTCTATTCTTCACAAATATAAAATACGCAAGTTACAATTCGGTTTCAAATAATTGCTAAAGTATTCGATAAATCTCAGATGGAAAATATTGAGGTGAAATTGATCGAACGTTCTACTTAAATAACATCTGAGTTCAAGCCTAGTATATATTATGTTCGCTAGTATACACTGGGCTAGTATTCTTGTCAATTAATTCAATTACGATACTTAAAAAATCCGTAAAAGATTGAAATATTTAGTCATTCAATTGAAATAATTAATTTATTTAAATATATTAGGACAACGATACCCCTATTGATACAGGAATTAAGCGACTCAATTTCTCCAGTTTCTCTGCACAGACTGTAACAAAGCAGCGAACTCTGGCGTCGTGTCGCTTAACCACGAGTCAGACGGCGTCAGTAGGAAAATCGAAACCAACGTTTCTGTTAAACAGTGGCAATAATCTGGGCATCTTTGCGCTGGAAATAAGCCGGACCCGCGTAATACCCCTTTAAGATTATAGCCACCAGGGTTTATTAAATCCGATCCACTTACTGGCCCTAATGCTAATGCTAATTTAATCGATGCACAGCTCCGGTGCCGCTTACCAACCACACGCCGGGAATCCATTAGAGTCGAGAGGTCGGGTTGTTGCTTTTCGTCAGACAAAATGGAGAAACACTTTTTTTTTTTTTTCATCGTCGGATTTCCAATCATGCGTAATTATTTTTTTTTTTTCTCGTCGGAACTGTTTTCTTTTATTTTCTATTGTTTGAAGATGCTTTCATTGATTACTTTATTCAACTACTCGAAATGCTTCTATAGTTAGTTTTGTATTTTTACGATTCTTTTTTTTTTTTTCTTGGAATTGTATGTGACAATGATACATCATTTGAAAAAAATCGATCTTGTATAACTGGGAAGAAAGAAAGGCAATTTAGTCGCAATTGGGTTAATTCTATCCTTTACGAAGTCTTTCACTGGATGAAATGTCGAACATTTTTGAACCGAGGTTGAAAAATGTCCGAGACTCTCTCGATCATCGTCTTTTCGAAACGATTAAAAACCGATCAGAAATCGCGGCAGCTCGGAAAGGTCGGGGTGAAAGCTCGTTATTGATCACGAGAGGGGCTGGCGTGCCACGCGGTTGTTAAGGGTGTTTATCACCTACACGCTCTTCAGGGTCGCCAGATTTGTGTCAAGAACTCGTTCCTTCACTGGCGCGATACGCGAAAGCCGTGGAAAAACTCGTCGTGCACAGTGTAAAACACAGAGGTGGTGGAGAAGTCTTCCTCAAGGCCACTACTACCGCCCATTACGACACCAACCGCGCCCTTTTCCTTTCAATTCTCTATCTCTCGCCTCTCCTATTCTTTCGTGGCCACTGATCGGCCAAACGATACTTCTCTTCCCTCGAGCGGTGGAACTTTACCCTCATTTTCGAATCGAAATTCCAACGATAATAATTTCTAAACTTCAGAGTTTCAGAATTTCAGAATTTCCGTTCGTTGGTGAAATTTTTAGTAAAATTGGCATCGATTGCAGTG